GACCAACACAGAGGTATTAAGACGAATGGGTAAAGAGGTGGAATTGTTAACAACTGTTAAAAGGACGAAAGCATCATACTTGGGCCATGTGTTCCGTAATGATAAGTACAGTCTGCTACAGCTTATCGTGGAAGGCAAGATTGAAGGTAGAAGAGGTTTGGGCAGAAAGAAGAAATCCTGGCTGAGAAACTTGAGAGAATGGTTTCAAATACCAGAAGCTGCGAACATAATTCATGCGGCACAAAACAGAGAAACCTATCGTATGATGGTCGCCAACCTTCGGTAGAAGATGGCACATAAAGAAGAAAGCACAACAATAAACGTTTTACATGCAAAAAAATAAGGCTTATTTACATCAACGCTTACAAAGAAAAGTTTTATAAAATTCCAGACACGAAAATACAAGACAATATAATTGCCAGTCTGATTCATACAACACAAATCAAAAGACATATGCCTACGTCGGTAAACAAAAACAAAAAAAATCCTGGGCCTAAGCGAAAGTATTCAATACAATACTTTTTTCCAGCTGTCTCTGGTGTTAAAACTTTTGTGTATTTAAAGCATTTTCGCACTATTATTGGTATTGAAGAAACTACAATGAAAACATAGCCAAATAAGTGCATTTTGGGTTTGCTGTTGAAGGGAAAAATGGGGGTGACTAAGATTATATCTAGTATTAGTAGTAGTAGTGAATTAAGTATTTAGAATTAGTAGTAAGAGTAGTGAATGAAGTATTAGTAAAGTAAGTAAAATATTAACATAGGTTTTAAGTAACCTGCCTCCGATACATACAGTACTTACGTGCTGCCTTTTTAAAGAATAAATTAAAAGTGCATCAGCACAGTCTGCTGAAAGGCGCAGTTAATGGTTAAAAAGCGGATTTATTCAAGTAGAACAAAGGTGATTTATGAGTATATAGAAATGGATGTTTCTCATTCTGTTAACCTTTACTTTGATCTTCAACAAATTCAGCCACAATCGAAAAGTCCAATATAACAAGCTTATTACGCGAGACAACTTTGGTTTTATATCTTTTGTATTACTGATCTAAAAACTCAAATTCACATGTTCTACACTTGGACAGAATAGCAGGCAGAAGAAGACAATGTCGAAAAATCATTGGCTCTCTGTAACTATTTAAAAGAAGATAATTTTTAGGGCTGTTCTCTACTAAGGTTGTTAAGCGATGGTTGTGTTTCTTAAAATAAAAATAATATAATTCTGAGAACACTGATATATTTTTTTGAAACACACAAAATGATTTTATTGTATTTCGCTCTACGCGGATATAGTTTTTTACCCGCCGACCGTGTTCTTAGAAGAGCAAAAAACAGTTGCCAAAAAAACGCATAATTTTAATTTAACAGGAATACCATGACATCTACAATGGTATAGGCAAGGTGAGAGCACTAAAAGAAGATTGACCACTTCTTGATACTGAGAAGCTAAGTGAATACTATAAGGACATCCAATCAATTAGTGAACTGAAGAGAATTGAAATATGCTGCCAGACACAAGAAGAAATTGAACACCTCCGAAAAAATGGAAAGGAAAGTCTTACAAAAATATTGTGTTGATAAAAGGCTTAAAAAACTACAAGTATAAAGAAAAAGAATCTTTTATATATTTGAGAAAGAAAGGGAAAAAGAATCTTAAACAAGTGGGACTGAAAGAACTCCCACTTCCTCATGTGTTAACCAAAGAAAAAAAATGTTAACAAACTTTTTAAAAAAATGTTTTTCTGACCCACGCCTTGGTGGGTACAAGAGTTTTATTTTTGATTAACCGACTACAGCAGCTCCTGGTGAGGAGCAGAAAGTAATTTTTTTGACTGTCTCAACGATGAGCGCTGTGACTTCAATATTAAAAAAAAACTGTTTGTTTGTTGCATTAACTACATATTATGACAATGTTTGTCACTTAAGAAAGGCTTATATTATTATTTTATAAAAATAGAAGTTCATGCTGAAAACCATCTTTCCTTTACTTTATTGCTTTGCTTTTTTACTTTATTTACATGCAAATATCTTATGTCTTATGTCCACAACAGTTTACATTCAAAACGACTTATTTCCACGGAGCTCATGCAAGAGGTCTTATTGCCAAAGCAAAATCAAATGAAGGAGAGCGGTAATTTCTAAGCTTTCTTAAAAAGGATTAAAACTTTCAAGCGACAGTACGTGTTTTGCAGATTGTGAATCATTTTGGTTAAGATTAACAGGTTGTTCTGTTAATCTACGAACGACTACCATGGAGAAATGTTTGTCTATGTTTTTAAGGAACATTTCGGTCAAATTATAGATTAATTACCAATAAATTTTGTTATAGTCATGGACAGTTACCATACAAGATGAAAGGAACCGGTACCTGTCACTAAATGCAGAAAGCAAGAACTCTTGGATTGGCTAATAACCAAAGAAATAGTAGTGGCAGCAAAAGGTCTACTTAAAAAAGAGTTAAGGAACATATGCAAACAATATTTACCAAAATTTAAGAAGTATACTAGGTACACAAGTAGACATGGAAGATGAAATGGGTACGAACTATGTAGAAGAGAATGAAGTAGAGAATGCAGTAGAAGCTCCAACCATAGACGAAGTTCTCGAAGCTATAAATTCCCTTCCCGGGTGTTGACGAAATAAGAGCAAATTTGTATACGGTAGGTGACGACCACCTAGCAAGTCACATACACGCACTCATCAAAGACATATATTATGTAGAGTATATAAAGTCTTCAGGTAAATTATAAACCAGCGGCTCCAACCACTAGCAGAAAATATTATTGGAGAGTATCAGACGATAGATAAAATAGCAAAAGAACATGGAGTTTAAGTGTTGCGATTTTCACCTTATCAACTTAATCCCATAAAATAAATCTGGGCTCAAATGAAAGGATATTTCGCAAAAAATAATACAACATTTAAACTTCAAGATATTCGTCAAATATTATCTGAGTCCATAACAAAAATTTCATCTGACAATTGAAAAAAAAGCTATAAAACGTATTATAGCAGAAGAAGAAACATTCTTCAAACTTAATGTAAATACAGAAAACAATAGACCCAATTATTATTTCTGTAAGAAATACAGAAACTGATGATAATTATAAGTTTATATATTTATTATTAAATTGTAAGAAAATGTCAATAAAGCTAACAAACTTGTATGCAGTATTGTTGGACATTAAGGTGTATATTTATGCCTGGAATTTTCTTGATAATATTAAAACTTTTACCTGAGGTTGCTTTAACCGCTAAGGTGTCAACCTTTTCATTACCTATAATACCTATATGTGATGGTATTTAGAGAAACTTAATATTTGTGTATTTAATTTAGTTAAACAAAACTAAAATTTAAAAAATTTACTAAAAATCAATTTATTCTACCAAGGACGATTGGTTTCTCATACTAGAATTTACGATTTATACATCCACAGGTCTCCGGTGCGCTAAACTAAATGCTGAGATTACAAATTACCAATATGAAGGTGCTGTCTATTACAAAATATATAACGATTTTATGCCTATATTGTATGTGTACAGTTTTAATGGTGTAGGTAACATATGAAATGATATAAGTTGCATACTTACATGTTGATACAAGAAATGTTATTATATGTACGTGGAACTATATTTAAGGTGGATCTGCACTCACCAAAAGACAAAGTCCAAATTCAAAAAATTTAAGAAAGTATATGTGATGACTAGAAGTATTTTGACAACTTTTAAGCAAACTTCATGTTTTCGTTTTTGAAAAAAACTCAAAAAAACTACTTTTTTCCAAGTATAAAGCGGGAAAACCAAACATAGGATTTGGTTAGTTTTTTTACAGCATCAAGATATACTTATAAGAAATACTTATTAATTTTTTGAAAATTTTTGAATTTACAGTTTTGTCTTAATAGTAAAAAATAATATTTCTCGGCTTATAGTAAAGCTACATAAAGCTAAATAAAGCTTTTTAATAACAACATATATAAAACTGTTAAAGTGGAATATATTTACAATATAACGTTAAATATTTTTTCCTAAACATACTCGTTAAACAAAAATTATGTCTTGAACTGCCGCTTTCAAATGTTACTGATATGTTGGGAGATGGTGCCATCTGAAGCAATGGTAGTATTTATCATCGATAGATAGCATTACGTTCGGCTTCGAAACGCTTCAAACGAAACGTTATACAACAGGGTTGCCATATCAATTACTTTGTACAACACTTTGGCAGATTATCAAAATTAATAGGAATGTTATCGGTTTGAATTTTGAACTGGTCATGCTGAAACTTACACAGTTACAGAATAGTAGATACTGCAACTTTTATTTTGAAAGTACGATATCATAAAATTTACACCCTATAAGTAATACATATATATATATATATATATAAAATACTATAGTTTTAAAAACCTATTTAGGCGTTTTTAGTTAATTATTTTAGTATTTATAAACAATAGAGTCGTATACCTTTATATGCTGTAGTCTAATTAATTTGTAATATCTCACTATGAAGTACAAATTTTGAAATTTTCATTCTTCGTTGTTCTAAAAACACCATTTTTTAGAACTAAGCAGCATACAAATGTTGCAAGAACTTGCAGAACAATAACTAGAAACTGATCCTCCTTATTCTTAAATAGTACTCCTTATGCAAGTTATTCTGAATCTATTTCAGCAAAAAATTGTGTACCGTCTCAGAACAATCAACCGAAACAATTTTTTTACCCTACTAAGAATGCTTTTCCTATTAAGTTTGATTTCAACCCTCAACCCTATTAAGAATGCCTTTCCGTCAAAATTCGGGTATGTCGTTTTGCACAACTCATTTTTACCAAACTTTGCACAAAATTCTATAATAATAGTTTATAGTTTAATACAGAGCTAGGATGATTTAGAGAATACTTTATTTTTGGTCATAGTTTTGCAAGTTTCATATTATATACTTAATAAATATTACCAAGATCTTTAGAATGGATTTTGTCCAGGGCGTCTAACAATATGGCAATCGCTAAAATATCACAAAATTCAAACCAATATTTAGTGAACGAAGGTGAAGATCTCTTCGCTGACTACCTCCTTTCCGTTGGCGATGGAATTTATGGAGAAAATATCAAACTTCCTTCCACCATCAAAGGCGAAGGAGACGTTGTAGAATTTGTTTATGTGCATATTCAAAATTCAATTGCAGAAGGACTGCTAACAGAGCTTGCAATTATCGCTCCAACTAATGAGGACTGTGCACAGCTTAATCAGCAAGTTCTTGATTTTCTGGACGGCGAAGAACGCGTGTACTTGAACATTGATAAAGTCGTCAGTGATGACATCAATGAACATCTCCTACTTCCTACGGAATTCTTGAATAAAGTAGAAGGTTCAGGCTTGTCACGACACCGTCTTCTTCTCAAAGTAAATGCTGTCATTTTACTTATGAGAAATATGAACACAGCAAAAGGTCTCATAAATGGCACTCGACTCAAAATCAAATCACTTCACCCCAATTGTTTGGAATGTTAAGTTTTTACAGGACAGTCAGCTAGACAAGTGATTCTGTTACCTCGCATCAAACTTTCCCCGGCTGAAGGAATATTCAGTTTTCAATTACGGGGCTCCAGTTTCCTGTTCAGTTGGCCTTTGCAATGACCACCAACCGTGCTCAAGGACAAAGTCTCAAGAAAGTTGGAATCTATCTTCCGAATCTGGTCTTCCCTCATGGATAACTGTACGTTGCAATGTGATCTCGATCATTTGGTGGCGTCAAAGTTTACATCATCCCGAATTCCAAGCAAAAATTCGACGAAGATGGATCCATCTGGACTAAAAACGTCGCATTTGACGAAATATTCCGTGATATTTAGTGATTTTCTTATTCTTATGTGATTGATTGTGATTGTATTGAACTAACTTTGATTGACTTTAAGTTTTGAACTTAAATGAATTAATAAATATTTTGTACTTGAAATTCGAAGTTGGTTTTTTTTGTTTGCAATTTGGTTAGTTTAGTTTAGGTTAGGTTAGGTTAGGCTGGGATATCTTACCGGAAGTAAATACTTCCGGTCGGTTTCATAATTCTGAATTCAATCAGTAAGTATAAGAAAAAAGTAGACACGGGCATATTTTAAAAATACATTGAAAATTAGGACTGTAAATTTTAAAGAATGAAACCTGTTAAATTCCTATACTTTACTATAGGAAAAATTCATTTTATGGCCGCCATTTTTAAACCGGTTCGAATTTTTTAAATTTGAAACCTTAAGGGGAATCCACTCAACAATCTGTTTAATTATTCGAAAAAATTATTCTCTTATCTATCACCGTTTAGGAGGAGTATTGCCTTTTAGTATATAAGATTGCTCCCCGCCCTATAAAACCAAGATTATGAAAGTTTATCTTCTTTTAATTGTCTTCAATTTAAGTAATACAACTGTCTAAATATTAATTTGTCACTTCTAGAGAAATCTGTATTATTATACTCTTTGTATATATCATTTTACCATTTTATAGGATTTTCAATTACGGTTCTAATGATATAAATATGTGTGTAGATTTTTAGTTTGTTTTTAAATATTAGAATAAAATTCAAAAAGGAGATCGAATCTGGTCGGTGTTTACATCGCCATGTAAAATTCACATAAAAAGAGTGGCTTAATTAATTTTAAAATATTCAAAAGTGGTAAATGATAACAAACGCATATTACAGTAAAAGGGTAAGTTCATACCACCTATTTTTATTATGGTTTTTCAATTATTTACTACATACTAAAAATAAAATATTGGGTTAGTCAAGTTTCAGCAACTCAATAAAAGATAAACAAATGTCCAAATTGTAAGTTGTCGATTGTTAACAATAAAAATATCTTTAATTGTATGTCATGCAATTTACTGATTCATGTTCAATGTTTAGATATTGCACAAAAAGAAGTTATAACTTTAACTAGGACAAAATCGAATTCACTAAGAATCGCTTGTAAAAGTTGCTGTACATTCGAAGATAAGTTCAATAAATTAACTGCTTTTATTTCTTTTAGCACATAGACTCGCATCGATTAAGGATCATCTCAGGTGATGGAACAACCTTCTCAAACTAACTCAATGGAGTTCGCGGATTGTATACAAGAACCAAATATTCGTTATCGATTTCCGCGTTTTTCGTGTATTGGAAAGATTATCAATAGTAATAAACCTAAGTATTAAAGATTAAATTTGCAGATAATGATAGTCCATTATTTGTATTGCGCAATAAGATCAGGTTGTTAGGAACCAAATTATCTGGAATTCAATTGAAGGATGACCTAACTAAATATCAAATAAACTATTTGAATAAAGTGTGAGAGGAACTGGAAAAACGTAAACTACTTAACAAGGAACTAACAATAAAGTATATTAATAAAGTTCCAACTATTATTAGTACTAACCAACAAAATGCCGCAAAAAACGAATAGAGTTGACAACAATAAATATTTTTTAGACTAAAATTGCATCTTTACATGCTTCTGACTTTTTGTCTTTACATTTTCTAATGCCGATATACATTTTTGGGATGGAGTTCCTCTGAAATCACTACGGGAAGTTAATAATTTTAGTGTTACGGTCAATCAAACATTAAGTTGGTCTACTCAAACAGCAAAGGTAGTTAGTAAAGCCAACTCTACTTTATTCTTTATCACAAAAGCTTTTCATAGAATATCTCCAGACTTGTTTTTGAAACTCTACAAAAGTTATGTCAGACCTCACCTAGAATCTGCAGTGTCAATTGTCTCCATTAACTCATAGACGAGAAAGATATGATGCCATATCTACTTATAGAATTCTTAGGGTGGATTTTTGGGGAACATCTAACTTATTGAATAATAACGAAGATGCTAGACTAAGAGGTCTTAACTATAAATTGAAAAACTTTTAAAACCACTGTCAAACAAAACTTTTTCGTTAACCGAGTTTTTGATAAATTAAACAGTTTAAGTGATGATATATATTAGAAGCTACTAGTTTAAATAGTTTCAAAAACAAGTTTGATGAAAACGAACAAAATATTTTACCTAGTCTTATGTTAACTATATTGTTTGTATTTTTTTTCTTTTATATATACTTTGCAATATTTGTATTTTTGTAATTTGCTATTACTGTAAGAACTTTTTGGAAGTACTAATTCTTTTGAAAATTATTTCTATTTTTACGTTGTGAGAAGATTTGATTTATATTACATTATTTAGTTTAGTACATACAAATATTTTGTAATTTGGGCCACATAAGCTCTGCTTTGGCTTGATATCATTATATTATAATAATACTACTCATGTTACTCGCGTTATTCCCAAAAATTACCTAGCGAACATAAAACAGCTGGGTCTAAATAAACATCTTCATAAGGCCATACATAAAGGCTTTCGTACACCGATCTGTACGAAAATTTGCGGGAGATATTCCAGCATACCAAGTCACCTAGGGCTCGATAACACCGAAAGAGTCCCACCAGAGCTCAATGCTTTTAATACCGTAGGTATCTGGGATGAGTGAATTTTTTCCTTAGAGGGAGTGTGAGCCGTATGGCTAAATCTGGATAATACTCAAAAGCAAACTTATTTCCAAGCACATAGTAAAAGCAATAAACACACGCAATACCACCTTTCACATAGTGCTCATTTTTGGCGTTATAAAATCGTTGAATACGGAAACTGAAGAACTAAATAGACCAAACAGAACCGTGATAACTAAATACGCATCAACCACTCCAAATCATACATTATCCAACATATGACTACCACGCACACAAGGCGGGAGAAGAACGGGGTGTTTTGGAAATATCACCCACTACTTAAAAATAAAAAAAAAACAACAAAATAACAGACAAAAATATATAGAGCAGTAATTAGACCGATAATAGCATACGGAGGGGAAGTAATGTGTCTTACGAAAAAAGATGAAAAAAAGTGAGAAGTATTAAAAGACAAATTATAAGAATAAACAGACCAATAAAGCCAGAACAAGGAGAATATAAAAGACCAATAAAGCATGAAATAAGAAATATAAATATAACGGAAGTGGAAGACATAGTATAATTAACTAATCCATAAAGACTGTTTTATTTAACATTTCTGTTATTTCTGACTAAAATATTACAAAATACATTCATTCAATACAATCAAAATACAATACAAACTATCAACAAAAATGTAATATAATATGATGTACGAATTTAATGGTAATATGATATAGGATACGATAAAATTGTTTAGATAATGAATATTTATTAATATTATATTCCGACTGACACAGGAGAGCAGTAAATTATTATACATAAAGATGTTGTTAAAGATATCTTTACTTAGTTGGTCTACTAGTATAAGTTATAGCATATTTGATAAAATTACTGTCTTCACAACATGGCAACTCAGCCAATGGATATAATGATAGAAAACTGCAATTTATGTTAGGGTTTAAAAATATTACAGAGATATCATGTAGAAATCTACAATCAAGTTAAAAAAATTACCAGAGCACCATGCCGCAGTAGAGCCATCTCTAGGATCAGAAACAAACTAATCGAGGGTGAAGATCAACCTTAAAGCTCCGTTATAGTTGTCTAGTCTTTGGGTATCATCGACTTTACTGCTTTTTGACAAATATTGGGCAATTCTTTCCTTGAGATGTGTCACATTTTAAACAGCTTGCAGCTATGAACAGACGTAATGATATTTTCCATCTCAGTGGAATTTATTATTATCTGATTTTACATAATACACATTTCGGGTATATATGTCACATTCGTCAACTGTAAACATTTTAGAACAAAATTGACAGGTGGTGTGAGATAACAGGTGCCGTAAAAATTTAAACTTGGTAGTATACAAAATCCTTACATATCAGTGTATAAGGATGTAACTATTTAAAGTATGTTGAACATAAATGAGCAAGAGTGGGCTAACTTCAAATATTGAATAATGGATTTACATGAACTAAGAATATATGCGTTTATTGAAATTTTATAAAATTCAAATATGATGCCAAAAGATAGTCATAGATAGTCATAGTAAAGTATTTCTCTGGGTGTCCTCTTTTTGACATCTAGTGAGTAAAAGAGAACATCTGCATTATTGCTGTATTTGTAGTTAATTGTAGATGGATTTGTTTTCTTGTATTGTAAGCACTGAATCTGTAACCATTGGACTTTTGATTTTTGTGTATCAAGTTTGCGATTTGTTAAATTTCTTTCTAACTTCTTAGTAAAATAAAAATCGTTTTCCGTCGTCTTTATTACCGTAAAATATGCTTTCTTTCGTGCATGTGCTATTACTACCTTTATCCAGTCGTCAAGTACGTAGATATCTTAAAAAAACAATTTTTTGCATACTTATTACTCCGAAATCTTGGTCA